GCGTGGAGGAGTGGGGAGCATGGCTCAGCCGGCTCTCGCTACAGGGCGTGCACACTGGCGCAGGTGAGGGAGGGTGGGCAAGGAGCGACGCAGGGAGACCATGGACAAGCCAGTGATGGGATATGTGACGCAGACGTGGGAGAGCGGGGTGACCTAGGCGGTGGTGCCACAGCAGTGAAGGGTGAGTGACCGACATGAGCAGGCTGCAGCTACCTGAGAGGACTCGGCGACTTGGGGGGATGCTCCGACCAGGGGGGATGCAGTGTCCAGCATGAACACGCCGGACACGGGGTCCGGGGGGAACGTGGTAAGAGGGGCACCAGTGGCGGCCTCGGTACAGATGGCGTACCGCTCGTGTCCAAGGAACGACGCCAAGGTCCTGAAGACAGCCAGCACCAATTAGGTTCCTGGAGAATGAGGGGATGTGCAAGCTTGTAAGAGAGCCCAAAGAGAGCCACAGGGAAGGGTAGTGGATCTCCGTGCGATTACCGGACCCGAGAAGGGGTCAGCAAGCGCTACAGCAGCAGGGGCAGCAAGCGGCATGAACGAAGTGTGGTAGCGGAGGAAGGAGGCAGACTCTCCAGAGTTGAGCGTGAAAGAGAGCGAAGCCGTAGCGTCTGCAGTAGCGGCGGCTGGCGGGTGGGATAGCGTAGAGCCTAAGCTAAACGAGGCAGGAGGTCCTACGCCTGACGCAACAAGGGAATCTAGACTACACACAGAAGGCACACCTACACTAGGCAACACAGGGTAATAAGATCCGGTCACACTAGAGTTATCAGCATACATGACATACATAGCAGTCATAATCTGATTCAAGTCAAGCTCAAAGACAGGCACATGGCGGCGGGCGAGGGCGTACCAGACACGAGGGTTCGAGGTGGGACCAAAGCGGAGACGGTAGAGGTCGTCGAGGCGACGGTAGGAGCGCGCAGCGGTGTGACCTGGACGGTCGCAGACGGTGCCGTGGCGGGGGCGGGTGTGAAGCTGGTACTGACAGGTGGCCACACTAGAGCCGCCACCAACATCGAGCTGCGTGGGGCACCACCACGACGACCACCACCAGCGCCACCAGGCCACCACGGCGGCTGCTGCTGCTACTGCGACTACTGCTGTTGAGGCTGCAGAGGCTGCTGCTGCTGTTGTTGCCCCGGGGAACCAGCCCTGGTCCCCTCCTCTGCACCACCGTCCTCGCCCCCACCTCTACCACCCTCACCACCCCCACCACCCTTCCCTCCGCCACGCCCCCCCTTGGGGCGGCGACCCCTACCTTGATGCTGATGCGCTGAGGCCGCGTTGCCGGTCTCAGCAGCAGGGGCTGTCTCAGCAACAGCGGCAGAAACGTTAGAGTAAGTGCACTCGGAGTGAGCATAGCCCTGGAAGATAGGGACCGACGCAGTACCGCTAGACTGAGCGTTAGTGCGCTGGCGGGTCTCTATCGCAGACAAGGCGGTGACAAAGGCAGTGAGGGTGAGGTCACGTGGGTGCTGACTAAGGAAGTGGTCACGGGCAGTGGCTAGGCGGTCAGACAGCGCGTGGCAAGGAGGTAAAGGGTAGCTCAGAGTGGCAACGGGAAGGCAATGAGCTGTGCCTTAGTGCTAACGGCACGGTAGCTACTCTCTAGTGCGCGGAGGTGAGTGGCAAGGTCAGCGACAGTGGGGAAGGATGCAAGGTCAGGGATCAACATGGGAAGGATCAGACGATCGGCAGAGGTTGAGGTGGGGGTGGAATAGCGCGCGATGACGGCATCTAAGCAACGTGGGGACACTTAGATAGAGGGAGGGCGGGACTAATGGCAAGCTGAGAACGGCGTCACGCAAATCCCAAACAGCGCAGGCAAGGTCAGCGGCGATAAAAGCCTCACGCGCAGCTACGTGGGGGCGTCAGGAAGGGCAGCAGGCGGCACGGGGCGAGGGAGCTTACCGTCGACATGGTTGGCCAAGGAGTGGCCGTCATGGCGCTGCCCGGTCAGCTGGCGGCGGAGGTCGGTGAGCCACGCCTCAAACTCAATGGCCCGACCCTCCGCGTCCAGGCGGAGCAGAGAGTCCGTCATCACCACGGCTACAGCAGCTGAGTGCCGCTGACAAGGAGAGGAGGAATGGCGGAGGAGGGAGGTGGAGAGCGGTGGAGTGCGGTGGAGTGCGGTGGAGAGCGATGGAGTGCGGTGAAGGCTGCCGGCGAGAACGCCGGCTCAGAGGAGGACCCAAGGCCGGCGGGTCAGCTCGACTTGGCGGTAGGAAGGGCTGGGGCAGGCTGGGACCGGCAGAGCTGCGACCGGCGAGAGCGCGGGGCCAGCGAGCGCCTGACGGGCGGGCGCAGGGCCAGCAGGCGTAGGGCTGGCGGGCGCCGGGCCAGCAGGCGCGGGGGTGGTAGGTGCGGGGCCAGCAGGTGGAGGGACCGGCAGGCGCAGAGCTGGCGAGCGCAGGGGGCCGGAAGGCGCGGGACCAGCGAGCACGGGGCCGGGCGGCGGGTGGCTGGCGAACGCGGGGCCAGCGGGCATGGGGCTGGCGAAAGCGGGGCCAGCGTGCGCACGGGGCCGACGGGCGCTGGGCTGGCGGGCGCAGGGCTGGCGAACGCGGGGCCAGCGGGCGCGGGGCTGATGAGATCGGGGCCAGCCGGCGCGGGGCTGATGAGATCGGGGCCAACGGGTGCGGGCGGGCGAGCGCGGGGCCAGCAGTCGCGGGGCCAGCGGCGAGCAGGTGCGGGGGCAGCAGTCGCGGGGCCTGCGGGCGCGGGAGTGCGAGCATGGGACCAGCGAATGCGGGGCCAGCGGGCGCAGGGCAGGCGAGCTGACGGCTACGGGCGACTGGCGGCTACGGGCGGCAGCAACGGGCAGCGAGCAGCTGACGGCTAAGGGCGGCCAGCGAGCTGGCAGCTAGCGACGGTCGACTAGGAACGGGCGGCTAGCGGCGGGCGGCTCGGGCTAGGGCTAGGACTAGGGCGGAAGCGTGGGTGGGCGGGATCCTAACCTAGCGTGATACCATCTCAGAGTAAAAATATCACTAGAATGATTAGGTACAAGGGAATATAACCTAGAGTGTTGTACTCTCTATGAGCATGCACCTATCTAGCCTATAACCTATACAAAATATATCTTGACATAGGATGCCTAAATTCCTATATATGTTTTTTTTTAAGCTTGTAACGCTTTATAAAAAATGTGGATTGTGAAGGTGTAGCAAAGGCCAACGCAGAAAAGACAGCGTCGAAGCGCTACTCACCCTCTTTTGCCTACAAAAGAGAGACGTGAGGCCATTCGGCCTCACCCACATTCTTCATTTCTAGTTCTCAGTTTCGTTTTCCCCACCCACCCACCCTATTTGTATGTATAGTGTTAACTGGATGAGAACCATGTATTCAACCCGAATGAAATGAAGCACACTGCCTTTGCTAAGAGGAACTAAGCAAGCTTTCACAATGAAGCCTTGGTGGTCAGACTAGTAGTGCTGCCTTGGTTTGTTAAACTCCTCTACCTAGGCTAGGGGGTGTGTCAACAAACATATATTCTGTATACACATACCTATCAAGTTAGTTTAGATTGTTAAACTAAGGTAGCTATGAACGGTAGGAAGCCATAGAAATGGCGAGAGGTTTGAGGCCAGGAAAGTTGAGGAGAGAAAAGGTGTCTAGAATAGAAGAGAGAGGCATACAAGGAGGGGGGTTGTACCCTCTACAGTAGGTTTCAGTAACACCTACCAAGCCTACCAATTATATAACAAAACATATCATTTAACACACCCCCTAGGCTTGGTATTAGAAGAACCCACACACACCCACACCCCCTAACCTAGCACCCCCCATGCCCAGCAGTAGCCGCGATGACTCCGGAATTGGTCGACACCCACGGCCCGGGAGATGGCAATAGCGGCAGTCGCGGCAGTGACGAGAGCGACGGCGGCGGCGGCGTGCGGCGGCAACAGGCCAGCGGCAAGAGCGGCGGCGGCGGCGGCTTCAACGTCAGAGGCGAGTGCAGCGACCCCCGCCCTCTCGGCGGCATGGCCAATCTCATCTGCTGTGGAGAAGGCCCTCACGAGGCAGTCGACGGCTGTGGCAAGGAAGAGGGGACGCAGGGGAAGGAGGGGGTGGGGGTGGGGAGGGGGGGGCGTGGTTCAGAATCATGCCCGTGGCAGGCGAGCGGGCGGCAGGTCTAGCGGCGCCACAGGCGTTGCGTGGCCGGCTGCCGCTGGACGGTGCCGCCACCGCAGCAAAGTTGAGGAGAGATCAGGTGTCGAGAATAGAAGAGAGAGGCATATGAGGGGGGTTGTACCCTCTACAGTAGGTTTCAGTAACACCTACCAGCCTACCAATTATATAACAAAATATATAATTTAACATACCGTAATCCCCCGTATATAAGACCCGCCGAAATAGTCAGCCCATGGGTGGCATATGCGGGGGATAGCTTATGATATGGCACATTTTTTAGAGTACCCGCTTTTCTGGGTTTGCGTTTTACAGAACACCCTGCTCGTTTTTCTTGCCTTCAAACAGTATTTCGTCCTGCATTACCAAGGTCCGCTCAGCTGCAAAAACCGAGCAGGATGAAAATCGCGTCAGGTGCCATTCGCAGCGCAAAGACGGGCAGACAAATCAATACAAGTGGCAAAATGAAATCGAAAGATAGCACGTGTCGAGAGGATCTTGACCGTCCATCTTGCAGTTTAGAACACGTCAGCAGCAATGGTCGAGAATATCTCGACTGCTTTTTGAAGCACGGAACTGGCTCTGTTGGTCAACAAGATTGGTCAGACGAGATTGGTCAACGACACTTGGCACTGCTGCTGGATCAATCTCCCACGATTTTCAGAGGCAAGTAAATGACCCCATCAGAGTGTGCGATCTCTGTAGCAGATTCATCATTAGCAGTTGCTTGGTGAAGTTCAGGCTCAAAGTGCCTGTTACAACCCAAATTCATTTTGCATTTTACATAAGACATGGGCTTTATATTCTTCCAGCCTACTGTTAACACCCATACGTTTTTTTAATGAAATTTTGACAATACCCTAGGGTGTTATACACGGGGGAATACGGTAGATATGTCTATCATAGCCTAGCTAGATCAGTTCTAAATGGGACAATATTTGTTCTTGTATCTCCCCTCCCCTCTTCCTAGTCACACTTTTTCCCGCTTCTCTAACAGGGCTGGGTAGAACTGACTGACTGAACCTCTAATTTGTATTAAAATCATGTGGAAATCTCCAGGTCAGTCAAATATGTTGTACTGTACCGGTACCATAAACCAGATTAAGCTTTTCCCTATGCTGGACATGCAATAGAGCGTACACCTGCAACATTTCCATTCGTCGTTCTGCACAACGGGAGGGGCGAGAACATCAGGCTTGCAATATTTGAAAGCCATCATGAGTAAAAAAACGCTGAAGGCATACTGTAAGAAAGGTTGTGTTTCCGGTAACTCACGCGGCGAATGTAACATTGTTGGTGGGCCTCGTCCAAACCGCAGCAGAGCCCCAACAGGTGGCCTGGTTCCAGAAATACATAGTTTTGCACGGGACACGCGGCCCCAGCGCTCCATCAGGAGCATCCCAGAGCAGTTGCAGGGACCCCACTGCTGCCGCCATGGGTGCTGGGATGGTGAGGCAGCCGGCGCCGGGAGTGGGCGCACGCAGCACGACGGGTGCAGGAGAGGTGGAAGTGGTGGTGAAGTCGGGGGAGGGGAAGAGGTCTATGCTGGTGGTGACAACAGGAGACACGGAATCTGGTGGAAAGGAAAGGGGGGGGGGGGGGAGGGGCGAGAGGGGGGCGGGATGTGTGGAGTGAGGGAGAAAGACAACGGAAGGCGGAACTGGTGAGGCAGCATGAGGGGTAAGAGAGAGGTGGGGGTGTTGATGAAGTGAGGGGAGGGAAAGAGGGCTATGCTGGTGGTGACGACAGGGGACACAGAGTCTGGTACATGTCTGTTTGGTTGCACGTGCATTTGGACACATGTATGACGTGGAAGCCATTTAGCAAGCATTTACACTCCTGCCCGCAAGACTTCACATCTTGTACAAATGTCACCTTGCAAGCATGCCTCACCTTGCAAGCACGTGTCACCACCTTGCAAGCACATGTCACCACCTTGCAAGCACGTGTCACCACCTTGCAAGCACGTGTCACCACCTTGCAAGCACGTGTCACCACCTTGCAAGCACGTGTCACCACCTTGCAAGCAGGTGTCACTACCTTGCAAGCACGTGTCACCTTGCAAGCACGTGTCACCTTGCAAGCACGTGTCACCTTGCAAGCACATGTCACCTTGCAAGCACGTGTCACCTTGCGAGCACGTGTCACCTTGCAAGCACGTGTCACCTTGCAAGCACATGTCACCTTGCAAGGACGTGTCACCTTGCAAGGACGTGTCACCTTGCAAGCACATGTCACCTTGCAAGCACATGTCACCTTGCAACCACGTGTCACCTTGCAACCACGTGTCACCTTGCAAGCACGTGTCACCTTGCAAGCACGTGTCACCTTTCAAGCACGTGTCACCTTGCAAGCATGTGTCACCTTGCAAGCACGTGTCACCTTGCAAGCACATGTCACCTTGCAACCACGTGTCACCTTGCAAGCATGTGACACCTTGCAAGCACGTGTCACCTTGCAAGCACGTGCCGTTGACGAGTGAGTAGGAGGATGGGCAGTCGCAGAAAGGAACGCCGCTGCTGGCCCTGCAAAGCGCAGTTGAGGGGCACTGCACGCCCACACACACAGAGGCTGCAGACAGGCAGGGGAGAGGGGAGAGGGGTCGTGGGACGAAGGGGAGGAACAGAGAGTGAGGAGCGGCAGTCGTACGATGGGACGTTGCTGCTGGCCCTGCAAAGTATATGTGAGGGGCACTGCAACCCCACACACAGAGGCTGCAGAGAGGGAGGAGAGGAGAGGGGGAAGGGGCTATGAGGACGAAGGGGTGAAGACGAGACGAGAGTCAGAGGAGGGGCAGTCGCAGAAAGGAATGAGGCTGCTGGCCCTGCATAGCTCAGTTGAGGGGCACTGCACTCCCACACAGAGACACTGTCAAGAGCAGGGGCGGATACAGGATGGGTTGGGGAGATGCAGGCGAAGGTGAGACACAGGGAAGGAGGGGGGGTGATGTAAGGTCACCTGCTCGTCTCCCAAAAGAAAAAGAAAAAGTGCTGAAGTATGGGAAAAGGGCTTCGGAGTTGACTCAAAGCAAGAAGACGTAGAGGTGCTTAAGTAGGGTGCTGAAGTAGGGTGCTGAAGTAGGGTGCTGAAGTAGGGTGCTGAAGTAGAGGAAAAGCTTACGGATTCACCAATCTGGAGCCACCAGCGCCCTCGCCACAAACACAAGACGAGAATCAACCGACTGGGCTCAAATACAATGAATTGAGTTAACGCCTGCTTACGGATGCACGAATCTGGAGCAACCAGCACTTGCCCCTTGCCACAAACACACTGGGCGACGCCTGTTGTCCCGATGCACACCAGGTTGCCGGCACACGTGTGGCCTATGCAGGGGTCTGGATGGACAATGGGAGAGCCAGGAAAGAAGGGAGAGCAAGGGATGTTGCCCTAACTGTCTTCAGAGAATAGCACATTGACCCACGGGGTCAGCCAGGGACAACGTTACTCCACTAATCCGATTGACCCAGCTTTCGATATTCCCCGAACTACCCCACCTGGTTGGCACTCAGTGCTGTTGACCAGCACCTTCCCCTCCTCAGAGATGCACGCTGCTGTGACCACAGGGACCCCGTTGACTGCATTGAACCTGTTGACTGCACTGAACCCGTTGACTGCACTGACCCTGTTGACTGCACTGAACTCGTAGACATGGCTATGAAAAACCTTAGAATCATCCCTCCTGGTTGGCACTCAGTGCTGTTGGCCAGCACCTTGCCCTCCCCACACACACACTCGACCGTGGGAGAGACCGCAGGGGCCCCGTTGACCCCGTTGACCACGTTGATCTCATTGACCTTGTGTCACCTAGCCCTACCTGGTTGGCACTCAGTGCTGTTGACCAGCACCTTGCCCTCCTCGCACACACACGCTGCCGTGACGACAGCAGCCCCGTTGACTGCGCTGACTCCATTGACCAGCGTACATGAGGACGTGGAGGGACACAGCACTCGGAAGCATGGGTCCGTGGCTGCACAGGGGTTGAGGGAGCGGGGATGGGAGGAAGGGATGGGGGAGGAGGGATAGAAAAGGGGAGTGGTTCCCTTGACTTTATGAACCAGCGCTCTTAAGGCCATGAAGTGACACAGCACATGGAAGCACATCTGTGTTGACAAAAACGCTTTTGTGAGTTTGTGTTTTGCGTTTAAACGCAATATGCAAAAACGTGTCAAAACGCTCGAACGCACCTTGAAAAGTTTTGGGCAGACCGGATTAAAAAAAAAAGCACAAAAAAACCGCAAAGTCGCGAATCGAAAACACATTTCGCCGCGCGTCGCGAAACGACAACACGTTTCGCGCGTCGCAAATTCGTCGTTGTGCAGTCGCGAAACTTTTCATAGCGACACGAAAACTCGTCAATCCCTCCCTTCCCTCTTCCCAACTTTGTTGAAAATCCCAACCCATTCCCCCCTGCTTGATCCAGATCTATCTGTAGAGGAGATCTTCGCTCACCTCACATGCACTGACGATCTAGTACTCTTACGTTCTTCCTTCCAGCACCTAAGCTACCCGACTTCCAGCCCCTAGCATGGCGTCCGTCTGCTGCCCGGGCTAAATTTTCCGCCTGCCCGGGCAGGCGTTTTCCGAGCGTATTTGAAGCCTGGAATCCTGCGTTTTGCATCCTGAACGCAAGCGTTCAGAACGAAACGCAAAAACGCGGAAACGCGTTTATGCCAACATAGAAGCACATCGAGTCCGTGGCTGCAGGTTTTGGGCAAGGGGACGAACGGCAAAGGTCAGGGAGAGAGAAGGATAAGAGAGAGAGAGGGGAGAGGAGGGAGAGGGAAGAGAGAGGGGAGAGGATGGAGGGGGAGGAGCAAACACCTGAGAACGAATGCCACACCGACCAAAAACGTGCGAACGAATGCCACACTGACCAAAAACGTGCGAATGAATGCAGCACTGACCATACGGCTTCTGGTCAGGATAGTTGCCCGGAGGGCTGTAATGGCATGCCCACACCTCCTTGGCCGTTCCACATGCTGCCTTCCCACACCCCACCTTCTTGGTGTTGTTCCATATGACCTGCCAAGGGGCGCGGGGAGAGGGGAGAGAGGGAGAAGGAGAGGGAGAGGGAGAGGGAGAAGGGAGAGGGAGAGGGAGAGGGAGAAGCGAGAGGGAGAGGGAGACGGAGAGGGAGAAGGGAGAGGGAGAGGGAGAAGGGAGAGGGAGAGGGAGAGGGAGAGGGAGGAGGGAGAAGGGGGAGGGAGAAGGGGGAGGGAGAAGGGGGAGGGAGAAGGGGGAGGGAGAGAGAGAGAGAGGAACAGTTGGCACATGGCGCATGGTTTATGGTCCATGGCACATGGTGCATGGTGCATGGTGCATGGCGCATGGCACATGGCACATGGTGCATGACGCATGGCACATGGCACATGGTGCATGGCGCATGGCACATGGTGCATGATGCATGGCACATGGCACATGGCACATGGTGCATGGCGCATGGCACATGGCACATGGTGCATGGCGCATGGCACATGGTGCATGGTGCATGGCACATGGTGCATGGCACATGGTGCATGGCACATGGCACATGGTGCATGGCGCATGGCACATGGTGCATGATGCATGGCACATGGCACATGGTGCATGGCGCATGGCACATGGCACATGGTGCATGGCGCATGGCACATGGTGCATGGCGCATGGCACATGGTGCATGGCGCATGGCACATGGTGCATGGCGCATGGCACATGGTGCATGGCGCATGACACATGGAACATAGTCACCTGGGTGGAGTGGCTGCACTTGGCCCAGTCACCCCTCCGCAGCCGTCGGGAAACTCAGCAGCAGTGGGCGCTTAAACCTTAGACTCCCACCTGGGTAAAATGGCCGCACTTGGCCCAGTCGCCCCCCGTGCAGCCATCGGAAAGCACAGTCGCTGCGGGCGAGTAGATCTGCCCCTCGTTCACCCACCCATCACTATGTGGCCAGGGCGTTCATTGCCCACCCAGTAAACCCTTAACCCTGAACCCCGACACCCTAAACCTTGAACGTCAAACCCGCACCTGGGTGAAGTGGCCGCACTTGGCCCAGTCGCCCCCTTGGCAACCATCAGGAAACACAGAAGCAGTGGGCGAGTAGAACTGCCCCTCGTTCACCCACCACTGCACTGCCTAGGCGTTCAACAACACCCACCCAGTATACCCTAATCCCGAAAATCGCACCTGGGTGAAGTGGCCGCACTTGGCCCAATCGCCCCCAGCACAGCCATCAGGAAACACAGCAGCAGCGGGCGAGTAGAACTGCCCCTCGTTCACCCACCACTGCACCGCCTGGGCGTTCGTAGCCCAACCCACTGCACTGGCCCCTGACAGGTTCTGCCCCTCCCCCGCGTTCCCCCCGTGCACCAGGTTGCAGTTGTACGTGCTGTTGGTCAGCGCGTCCGCCCACGCCTGTGCTCTGATGGACACTGGAACCGGGAATGGGCGAACAGGAGGCGGGAGGGATGGGTCGGGAGGGAGGGTGAGTGAGGGAGAAGGTTTGGGGAGAATAGGCCAGCGCCTGGCAAGTTATGCCCCTCTCCCTCATGCTCGATGTGCACCAAAACACAGTTGTACGTGCTGTTGGTCAGAGCGTCCGCCCATGCCTGTGCTCTGATGGACACTAGGAAGGGGAATGGGAAGGCGAGTGAGAAATTTTCCAAAAGACTGCTCCTGACAGGTTCTGCAGCTTCCCTACGTTCCCCATCCCCCCAATCCACAAGGCTCCATACGAAGCATCATTCCATGCCATACCATGCCATGCTCTCACATGCATCGTCCCATGCCATGCCATGCTATGGTCTCACATGCATCGTCCCATGCCATGCCATGCCATGCTATGGTCTCACATGCAGGTCCCATGTGAGGGAGGTGACGGCCACAGCAGCACAGGCGACATTATGAGCGTTGAGATAGTCGGCACGGGGCACACTGCAACCAGTGCAGTGGCTGCCCCTTCCCTCGTGCACTTACATGCAGCATCCCATGCACTCACATACACCATCGCATGCACTCACCTACACCATCGCATGCACTCACCTACACCATCGCATGCACCCACATACACCATCGCATGCACTGACATACACCATCGCATGCACTCACATACACCATCGCATGCACTCACATACGCCATCGCATGCACTCACATACGCCATCGCATGCACTCACATACACCATCCCATGCGCTCACATACACCATCGCATGCACTCACAAGCATAATCCCATGCGCTCACGTGCATTGTCCCATCCCATCCCCTGCACTCACACGCATCATCCCCTGCACTCACGTCCATCATCCCATGCCAATGCAGTGGCGCCCACAGCAGCACGGGCGATGTTATGAGCGTCGAGGTAGTCGGCGTGGGGTAGGTCAGCAGAGGAGCATGCGGCGCCGATGAGGTGAGGGGTGGCCACGGGACATTTGCACACCGGAGTACCGTTCTCCACCGCACACGTCGAGGTATCGGGGCACTTCACGCCGTAGCAGCGATCTGGCGGAGCGGGGGTGAAAGAGAGAGGGGGGGGGAGGGGGGAAGGGGGGGGAGGGATGTGAGCGGGAGTGAAAGCAATAAAGGATAGTTCACTATTAAAAACCATTGACGTTGCTCAATGAAGGGGTTTAGGTGAGGGAGGGAAAAGAGGGTCGGGGAGAAGGGAAACACAGGGAGGGGAAATCGGAAAAGGATAGAGGGGTTGAGTAACTTGGTTTACAACTTACCAGCACAAGAGCAAGTGGCTAGGCCGTTGACAGCAGAGCAGTTGCAGGAAGGGGGGCATGTGACGAGCGAGCACGGGTCTGGTGCTGCTCGTGGGGGGAAGAGGGGGTGGTGGGGGAGTGGGGGGAAGAGGGTTGGGGGAAAGAGGGGGGAGGGAAGACAGGGGGGAGGGTAGAGGTGGGGGGGAGAGGGGAGGGAAGGGGAAACAAAGGAGTCTGATCCCAAAGGTTGCTGTAATTCCAGTAGTGTGATGGGGAGATGGTGAGAGGACGACGTGAGCATGATGTGACGATGACGTGAGCATGATGAGAGCATGACGTGAGCATGACGAGAGGATGATGGGAGCATGACAAGAGCATGACGAGAGCATGATGGGGAGATGAGAGGATGATGGGGAGATGAGAGGATGTGTGCAACTGTACATTTCTGCAGGTGTGCATGTGTGCAGGTGTGCATGTGTGCAGGTGTGCAGGTATGCATGTGTGCAGGTGTGCAGATGTGCAGGTGTGCATGTGTGCAGGTGTGCAGATGTGCAGGTGTGCATGTGTGCAGGTGTGCAGGTATGCATGTGTGTGGCGTAGCATGCAGTGGGTGGGGTGCGAGGTAGGTGTGTCAAGCAGGTGATAAACGCACGTTGTTAAATCGCCAGTTGAGTTGACCCACCAGTTGAATTGCCAGTTGATCCGCCAGTTGAACCACCAGTTGACCCTCCAGTTGAATTTCCAGTTGACCCGCCAGTTGACCCGCCAGTTGACCCGCCAGTTGAATTGCCAGATGAACCGGCACTGCTGGACGGATCAACTGGCGCGAGACATGACACCGCCTGAGCTGCTGCCGCCACCCCTGTGGTGCTCCTGGCAAGAGGAGGGAATAGGCGGTAAGAGGAGGGGAGAGGAGGGGAGAGGAGGGGAGAGGAGGGGAGAGGAGGGGAGAGGAGGGGAGAGGAGGGGAGAGGAGGGGAGAGGAGGAAAGTGAGCAAGAGGTCATGGGAATGATCGGTCATGGGCGTGAGAGGGCGCGGGGAGTGAGAGGGCGTGGGGAGTGAGAGGGCGTGGGAGTGAGAGGGCGTGGGGAGTGAGAGGGCGTGGGGAGTGAGAGGGCGTGGGAGTGAGAGGGGAGCACAGGTGGAGACGGATGAGTCAAACTCAACTGCACGCTGGCAGGAGATCTCATAGGCGAACTCAACTGCACGCTGGTGGAAGGATAATTAAACTTCGGCCGCACAAACCCGGGGCATGGTCCAGGCAACATAGGCGCCGCTGCAGGCGAGCTGGACCCAGAGCAGCACGGACGTGCACACGAGGTGGCTGGGGGACTCCCATTACCCGCACAGCCCATACCGCCTCTCTCCCCCTTGCCCCTGATTCCTCCCACCCTCTCTCCCTTGTCCCAAACCCCCCCCCTTGCCCCTGAATCGTCCCCCGACTCAACTGTACGCTGGTGGCAGCATAGTCAAACTTGGTGCTACTAACAGCCGCCCACCCCCCGGGGATGGTCCAGGCAGCAAACGAGCCGGTGCAATCCCGCTGGTCCCAGAGGAGCACGGACGCGCACACGAGGTGGGTGGGAGCCTTGTCATCCACGTTCCAGAGGATGCGGAGAGAGGCAGTCTTGGCCGCGTGGGAGGCGGGGACAGGGATGCATGTCTTGTTGGGCATGGCGGCGCGGAGGACAGCGGGGGGGGAGGTGGAGGAGGAGGAGAAGGAGGGAGAGCTGTAAAGGACAAGGGTTGTGCCGACAACCTGCCAGTCAACGTCTGCGTTAGATGTGGGGTGTGGGGGTGTGAGACATGGGATGGAAACCAGGAGGGGAAGGTGAGAGGAGGCGGAGTGAGGCGGTATTGGCAGGGTGCGATGTGGGGAGGATGCATGTCTTGTTGGCCATGGGGGCACGCAGGACAGCCCGGGGAGAGGAGAGCGAGGAGGGGGGGAGGGGGGAGGAGGAAGAGGAGGTGTAGAGGACAAGGCTTGTGCCGATCTGCCAGTCAACGTCTGCGTTGGATGTGGCGGACGTGAGACATGGGAAGGAAACCAGAGGGGATAGAGGAGAGGGGGCAAGCAGAATGAGGCGGTCTTGGCAGTGAGGGATGCAGCAATGACTTTTGAGTCGACTTGGTTTTTGAGAATTCTCAAAAACCAATTCGACGCGAGGTGACTTTTGAGTCAACTCATAAGTCACCTTGGCAGCGAGGGATGCAGCGATGAAGGCCATGTCTTGTGGGGCATAGCGGCACGGAGAACGGGGGAGGAGAGGAAGAGAGGGAACGGCGAGCGAGGGAAGGGGGAGAGGGGAGGGAAGAGAGAGGGGGAAGAGAGGGAGGGGTAAGAGATAGAGGAGCATGGAGGGGGCCACTTACGTGCGACACATGAGCCGTTGATCAGGGCAAGCCCGCCGCTGCAAGCGCACCAGGGGGCGTTCTGCTTGTCAGTGCTGCATGCAGCGCCAGCGGGGCACTGCACTCCCACACACCCGGATTCCGCTGCGAGGGGAAGAGAAGGGAAATGAGTGGCGTGCGGGGAGTGGAGCTCACATACTCACTGAACCTACTTCGCCGAACTTCTGCTCTACCAAATTTTCTGCACGAGGGAGTGATGGGCCTTCCTAGGCTCCTACCTGCCAGCCTTGCTGGGCGAGGGGGCGATGGGCCTTCCTGCCTGTCACTCACATTGCTTGGATGGGCCCTTCTTGGGAGGAGGCTTCGGCCGCTTGAGCCACGAGAATGGGTTGAACAGGCTACGGCCGTGACGCCGGTGCAGCGCCGGTGCTCCCACAGTGAACACCGCTGATGATGCTGATGCTGCTGCTGCTGCTGATGATGATGATGATGACGCTGCTGATGGTGCTGCTGATGCTGCTGATGCTGACAGTGCTGCTGGTGCTGCGACCACAAGGAGCAGAAGCAGCAGCGCTGGCAGCGGAGTGACCATCAAGGCAGGATTTCCACACTTTCGCAGGTGGTGAGAGCCAAACCCTAAACGCGTCCGTCCCACAGGGAAGGTATGCTAGAGCGTGGTAAGTTCTAGGATAGCAAGGGATTTGAGCGGGGGAAAGGCACCACGGCACACCAGCTGGCACCCTGCCAATTTCAGGAACGAGCCTTCAGCGGAAGTATCATCCAGTCCGTGGGAGTGTCAAAATGAGGGTGGGAGGCCAGAACATTCCGTGTAGGGTTGGACACTACACCGTTCCGCCAGAAACGTGAGCCAGGCTGTACATACTATGTACAGTACTAGCTCGTCCCTGAGCCACGGTGTGCCCTAATACTAGGGATGTAAGTGGTACGCATTTACCTCCCATGGGATGTACTGTACTGTCGGATTCCGTTGCACGCCCAATTTCAATCCCGAGTTCCAGCCCACCCAGTTCCTGCATCCAGTTCCCTCCCACCCCTCGACGGACGGACGGCCATAGACCTGCTCTGCCTCGCGTTCCCCTGCTAAATCGAGGCGCGTTGCCTCGTTTTGGAACACGAGTCACGATGACGGATCCACCGCTGGCTAATGTTGTCCTGTCTGGTGCCCCATTTTGCGCCCCTCCCCCACCCCACCAGCTGGCCGATCCATGGCTCCTTCATTCTGCCGCCACGTTACGTGTACCCATCGAATCGGATGGATGCACGCATCTCGTTCCGACGTCCGGTCCGCCTCGTCGTAAACGAGAACGCCACGCCATGGCCCATGAGTGTACAGCCTGTTGGGTGCAGTATCGCCATGGCCCACGCAACTGCAGGATGCGATGGGATCCTCCCTCCACAGGCATTCGGGCACAACGCCAGTCTGGATCGAAAAGCAGCCACAATATCAGACTCTGCTCACCAAGGTGTGGTGTGAAGTGTGCCAGCCACAAAATCAAGCAATGCACAGTGTACGACCACTTTGCAAGCGGCGTTCAGAAGATGCTCCTGTCAGGAGAATTTGACTCAGCTACCTCGAAAAGAACCTGGTTACCTGTTTTTAGCATGTAACATATGAGAAGTCGGCAAACAGAATTGAGGGCGCACGCCCGAGCCAGGGGGCTTCGGCCTCCAAACCGAGTGTTTTGCGAGCCATTGTCCAGGTGCAAGCAGGTTCGGTTCCTAGAGTCAGGGCGTGGTGCTTTGAGTTTGTTTGGCGTTTCTCGTACTTTGAGTTCGAATTTCACGAATTTCTGCAAACGGGGTGATATCGAACAAGACTTGGAACTACAAGGAGGGTGACGGAAACGGAGTACGTCAGCATGGTAAAACCGATGCGTTCGCGATCGTGCGAAAGTCAACCAGCGCGCCGAGCCAGGATGCGCGCCACAGTGGTAACGGCGTCCACTATTCTTCAGTCTCGCGAGTAATCCTGAGCTAATCGAAATAATCCGGACTATCTGTCCGTCGCAAGTAATCCTGAGCTACAGTATCGGAAAACAGTTCTGAAACAGAATCTCGGAGCTTCTCCGGGAAGAGTTAGCAGCCGCACTCAAATATGCAGTGAAATTTCAAAAATCTTGGGACTACTATGATTTTTACTGACCTCTATTAACCTTATAACCATAATATCTATCTTTATTCTACAACGTGAATCTTTTGTAGCGAGATTTTGCCTACTCGATCTGCTACACTTGTCGTTCAGCTAAAACCGCTTCGTCACAGTAATTCAAATGAATTTTGATGATCCCTTCAAGAGTTTCTTTAAACACGCGAAACAGCTAGCGGCCTTGGTGGCTTACAATAACTGTAGCTTACGACTATTTGGGAGGGACTTGATTACGCCATAATTTTGTTTTTTCCTCCCGTCAGCAACTGTACAGCATCTGTACAGTTCTGTATGTTTCGAATTCGCGTGTGTCCATAGAAGTAAGCCTGGAGTCCACGGTGTCAAACATCTGTATTTGTTATGTTTGTATAGACTGTATAGGGTTACCGCTTAGAGGGTACAACACTTAGGTATATTTGTGTGTACTCTCATCTATACCATTATTCAATTATTCTGATATGGTATCACGCGTAGGTATGATCCCCCCCCCCCCACCTACCGCTTCCGCTCATGCCCCCTACCGCCCCTCCTGGGCCCCGTCGCGCTCCTCCCAGGCCCCGTCGCGCTCCTCCCAGGCCCCCTAGCGCCCCTCCTGGGCCCCGTCGCGCTCCTCCCAGGCCCACTAGCGCCCCTCCTGGGCCTCGTCGCGCCCCTCCTGGGCTTCGTAGCGCCCCTCCCAGGCCCCGTCGCGCCCCTCCCAGGCCCCGTCGCGCTCCTCCCAGGCCCACTAGCGCCCCTCCTGGGCCCCGTCGCGCTCCTCCCAGGTCCCGTAGCGCCCCGTCGCGCCCCTCCTGAGCCCCGTAGCGCCCCTCCTGGGCCTCGTCGCGCCCCTCCTGGGCTTCGTAGCGCCCCTCCTGGGCCCTGTAACGCCCCTCCCAGCCCCGTCGCGCCCCTCCCAGGCCCCGTCGCGATCCTCCCAGGCCTCCTAGCGCCCCTCCTGGGCCCCGTCGCGCTCCTCCTAGGCCCCGTAGCGCCCCGTCGCGCCCCTCCTGGGCCCCGTAGCACCCCTCCTGGGCCTCGTCGCGCCCCTCCTGGACTTCGTAGCGCCCCTCCTGGGCCCTGTACCGCCCCTCCCAGGCCCCGTCGCGCCCCTCCCAGGCCCCGTCGCGCTCCTCCCAGGCCCCCTAGCGCCCCTCCTGGGCCCCGTCGCGCTCCTCCCAGGCCCCGTAGCGCCCCTCCTGGGCTCTGTCGCGCCCCTCCTGGGCTCTGTCGCGCCCCTCCTGGGCCCCGTCCCGCCCCTCCCAGGCCCCGTCGCGCCCCTCCGTGGCTCCGTAGTGCCCCTCCTGGGCCCCGTCGCGCCCGCCCGGCGCCGTCGCAGCCGCCCGGCCCCGTCGCGCCCGCCCGGCGCCGTCGCACCCGCCCGGCGCCGTCGCGCCCGCCCGGCCCCGTCGCAGCCGCCTGGCCCCGTCGCGCCCGCCCGGCCCCGTCGCAGCCGCCTGGCCCCGTCGCCCTTGCCTGGCCCCGTCGCAGCCGTCCGGCCCCGTCGCACCTGCCCGGCCCCGTCGCACCCTGCCCGGCCCCGTCGCAGCCGCCCGGCCCCGTCGCACCCGCCCGGCCGCCGTCCCGCTCGCCCGGCCCCGTCGCACCGGCCCGGCCCTGCCGCACTCGCCCGGCCCCGTCGCCCCAGCCCGGCCCCGTCGCGCCCGCTCGGCCCCGTCGCCCCGTCCCGGCCCTGTCGCACCAGCCCGGTCCCGTCGCGCCCGCCCGGCCCCGTCGGGCCAGCCCCGGCCCCGTCCTCCGCACTGGTACGGTTCCCCCCCCCCCCCACCCCGCCCTGCTCCGTGCCGCCCCGCACCACACTGTACTGCCTGGCACCGCACTACACCGCACTACACCGCACTGCACCGCACTGTACCGCACTGCACCGCACTGCACCGCATTGCACCGCACTGTACCGCACTGCACCGCACTGCACCGCCCTGCACCGCACTGCACCGCACTGCACTGCCCTGCACCGCACTGGACTGTTCCTGATGGCGGCGGAGCTTCGCTTCGACGCTGAAGGTCAGCCCCTAGAGTTCGAGGCGTGGCTTGCCGTCCTCCGCCGCCAGCTCACTGGCCAGCGGCAGGATGGTGAACCGCTTTCCGCACACCTTGACGGTACGCTCCCCTGCCCAGACCCCCCTGCTATCCTGCCCGCTGACCCCACACCCACTGAGCGTGAGTCTACTGCTGCCACTGCCCGTGCGCGCTCTGTCTGGCTTTCTCGCGATGCTGTTGCCCAGCTTGCCATTAGCAACGCCCTTCCCCCATCCGAGCGTCCTCGCTTTAGTCCGTCTCCTACTACCGCCGCTTTCCCCACCGTGGTCCCCCGGTTACCCCCCCCTGTTCCTGGTCACCCCTTCCCCGGTAGTCCCTGCCCCCCCCCCTCCTCCTCCCCGTCCTGCCCCCTCTGGTGTATCCCACGTTACCCCCCTTCCGTCGGTGGACCCGGTTGAGGAGTCTTCTGACTCTGGTGGCCCTCCTGTTCAGTCCTCGCCGGCCGCCCCTCCCCCGGCGTCCCCTCCCCAGTCCCCTGCTCCACCGCCTCTGCCGCCGCTGCAGCCGTCGTTGTCGCTGCCGCCGCCACCGCCGCCGCCGCCGTCGCCGCCGCCGCCGTCGTCGCAGCACCCGTTCGCTGACTCTGGGGGTGCTCGTCCCGGTCGCCCTGGGGGTAGCCCCTCTGGGGGTGCTGGTGTGGAGAGTGCCGGTGGTCGCCGAGGAGCAGCTTGCGGTCCAGGTGTCGCCGTTGTGCCGTCGCAGCCGCAGTCCCCGCCGGTGTCAGCCCTTCGCCTGCTCGGCCTTCCGTCCCCCGACCCTGCGTCGGTTCCTCCCCGACCGTCTCCTCCTCTTCCTGTCTACGGCCCTGTTTTTCCTCCGCCGGACTCGTCCCCGGCTCGTCTCCCCCCTCGTTCCCCTCCTGTGTCCCCTCCCCTGTCTCCTGACCCGACTCCTCCGTCGCACGTCTGGTCTCACCGCCCCTCCCGTGCTCGTCCTGCCTCGCCTGTCTTGCGCTCCCACCCTATGTTGCTTTGTTCCCACGCGTCTCGTCCTCCCCTTCTCCCGTCGCCTCCTCCGTCCTCCCTTGTTGTTGCGCCCCCCCCGCTGTCCGACTACCTTCGTGCCGCTCGTCCTCTCGTTCCTCGGGTCCTTGCCTCTCTCGTTACCGACCCGTCTGTTCCGGTCTCGTGCCTTGACGCTCTTGTCGCTGCTGTCGCTGACTTCGCCTCTACCTGCCGCCTTGACTACGCCACCGCTCTGGTCTCTGACCCTGCCTGTCCTCCGTCTGTCGGGGGTGCTCCTGCCCTTGGCAGTGACGTCCTGGAGGACCGCCAGTTCGAGCTTGCTTTCCTCTCCGAGGCTGCTCCCCATCTCTGTTCCATGCTGCTAGTCCCTGAGGGTGACCCAGACGCTTTCGACATCCCGACCCCTCGCACTTACGCTGAGGCGACTTCGGGACCCTGGGCCTCTCAGTGGATAGCTGCCATGGAGCAGGAGATGGCATCTTGGAGATCCACCGGCACCTTCGTCGACGCAGTTCCCCCACCTGGGGTGAACGTAGTCGATGGCCGCTGGCTCTTCAAGGTGAAGCGCCCTCCTGGAGAGCCGCCTGTCTTCAAGGCGCGCTATGTGGCTAGAGGCTTCAGTCAGCGCGAGGGGGTGGACTTCTTTCAGACTTTCGCTCCGACCCCGAAGATGACTACTCTTCGGGTTCTGTTACACCTAGCTGCTCAGCGTGACTACGAGCTTCACTCCCTCGACTTCTCCACTGCCTTCCTTCAGGGCAGCCTACACGAGCAGGTCTACCTGCGTCGCCCTCCGGGCTTTACTGGCACCTTCCCTCCTGGGACCCAGTGGCTCCTGCGGCGCCCCGTCTACGGCCTGCGCCAGGCTCCCCGGGAGTGGCACGACACTCTCCGTGCTACCCTTGCTGACCTGCAGTTCTTTCCGTCTTCCGCGGACCCTTCACTCTTCGTTCGTGCTGGCCAGACTCCGTTCTACATCCTTGTTTACGTCGACGACCTGGTCTTTGCCACGGCAGACAGGGACGCACTGGCCTCCGTGAAGGCAGAGCTGCTGAAGAGACACACGTGCACTGACCTTGGAGAACTGCGTCGTTACCTTGGCTTGCAGATCTCCAGGGACAGAGTTGCGCGCACCATCACCCTGACTCAGTCACACTTGGTGCGCCAGGTCCTTCAGAGGTTCAGCCTTCAGTTCTCCTCTGCACAGCCCACCCCTCTGCCTGTAGACCACAGACTCTCCGCTCCAGTACCTGAGGAGTTGGTAGAGCCCAGCGGCCCCTACGCAGAGCTGGTGGGTTGCCTCATGT